CTTGTCATTTATGTCTTTCAAACTTAACTTTCGACAGGTTGGTCACTCTTTAAAAGTGTTAAAGTGCGATAGATTCAGAGATGAACTATCTAGAACACACGCCAACTTGAATGATATGTGAATCGGCTCGAGAGAGTGATTTTTAATAAATAAATTTGTTTATCCATATATTTTGATGACACTATTTGTCACTATCTCTGGTCCGAATACCACATAGAGATATGAGTTGAAAGCTATAATATAGTGCAATAGTGAAGTCCGAGAGAAATATCCTCAAAATAAATGGTGGAACTAAGTTATGAAAAACTGTTTGCCGTAGCATTCCTACAGCATTGACTACTGTAATTTGCGTTTGAGTCTCACCACAAGTCTTACACCCATGCTATTCTTGTTTATTATGTTATCTGTACTTAATTACCTGAATATCAAATTGAAGTCTTCAATTTCATCATCTGAAATCATCTCTTTCATTGGACTCTCATTAGACTTTTGCTACAGTCTTCGTGGACGATAAACCGGTATTTTACCACTTTATTACTTAGGAAGACGATATTGGACCATATTGTATACTTGCGTTGTGGTCCATTTCATTTGTCTAAAAGTGTGCGATATAACCTACCAACCGGCCCGGCCCGCGACCGGTAAGGACCGGTTATGGGACCGAAAACCGGGACTGTTGAGGTTTTTGGTAGTTTCGTGGGACCGGGACCGGGACCGGCTATGGACCGGCCCGGCCCGAAAATTTAAATAATTTTATAAATAAATGTATTTTTAAATAATTTTATAATATATTTTTATTAGACAATATAATTTTAATTATATTGAAACGTATTTTTAAAGTGTATTTGAGCGACCCAAATGTAAATTTTATAATGTATTAAATATATATATCATTAAAAAATCTTATTTTTTAATGTTGGGACCGATTGGGACTGGGACCAGGACCGGCGCCTCATAACCGGTTATGAAGTACCTTGACCGATCCTACCATTTTCGACCGGGACCAGGACCGGTTACGCCGGGACCGGTTATGAGAAAAGTTTGGGACCGATTAGGCTCGGCCCGGCCCGAGACCGGTTTTTAGCCATCACTAATTGTAATGAACTAATTTCTGAATATGTACTTTTAAATTATTTTACATTCTTATCAACTAATTTTTACCAAACATATTATGTTATTTAAACTTTTTGTAATCGAAACAAATACCCCAATAAAAACTTCGCCCGAAATCATCAAACAACTTAATTTGTTTCAATGAAATCGATTTGAGGTGAATGGTGCAACGTCATAAGATCAAACTTCATTTTTTTTTAATTATAAGTGGTAACTTGCATATACACCGACTCATTTAATGGGGCTTCAAAAATATCCAACAGAAAAATCTTTAGAACATCTCCAATAGATATGTTATATTTTTTATAAAAAAAATATCAAAAGTCATAACGTCTAAAAGAATTACATTCAACTCGAACATCAACTCTATTTTAGAGATGTTAAAATTAATTATATTATTAAAATATTCAATACATTTAATAAAATATTAATTTCATCTCTAAACATTTAATTTAAATTCCATTTATTAGTGAGAAATATATTATTTTTCTCTCTTACATATTTTAATTCTTTTTTTACCAATAAGAGATATTGAAAATAAATGGTTAGGAAAAAGAATGATAATGTAGAACATTTTAATCATATAGTTGATGCTAAAATTGAGTAGTTGTTTGAAGTTAGACGTAATTTTATTCACGATTTTGACTTTTATTACTCTGTTTTAGAAAAATTATAGTATAATTATCAGAGATGCTATTAAAGATTTCTCCAAATGAGGAGTTTCTCACATTCTCTCTCTTCTTTTCTTTATTTTAGCATACATTATAAGATAAATGTTGTTGGGCTCAACCATTTGATTTGTTAATAACACAAATACATCTGAACCAAAATTTTAAAATTTTCTTGAACTTATGCCATACAATATGATCACTTGTTATCGGATACAAATCAAAAGCTGGAATGCTTCAAAATCCGAATTGAGATATCAATCCGAATTTGTTTATTGAAATCCGAATTAGTCCAAAATCCGAATGTAATGAGGATTCATTTCCTAACTAAATTCGAATCAGGGTTCCGATCCTAAAGTCCTTTTTTCAGATCCGAAGGATTTATATTATTGCTGAAATCCGAAATATAACTTATAAAAGTCTTATTGTTGTCTGTACTAGTCTAAAACATAATGTCTTTAACAAAAATCGAATATTTGAAGTGAGCCGAGGTAGTCATCAAAGCGGATTGGATTGTCATCTAGCCGATTGAAGACTAGTATGAGATAAAGCCAAAAATAGTTAGACAAATACTATTTTTGGCGAGCCAATTTTTGAGTGCAAACTTAACCAATAAGTTTGGCTCACCAACTCTACCAACTCTTGTCCTGGTTTGGGAACATGCTCAACATGTCAGATTAAGGGGTTGTTCGGTTGCAGCTTAATAGGTTGTATAAGCTATATAGCTTATTCGGTCAGCCATACAAATCTGTTCATAAATGGATTAATCGGCTAACCAATGACTTATTCGCTCAGCTAGAAAAGATGTGTTGTTTAGACTCAACCTAAAATTTTACCCATATGCCCTTCTTTAAAAGATTTTTCCGGCCTCCTTCACCAATCTTTAGACTCTCCTCCTTCCTCCTCCGGTTAGTCTCCTAGCTTTCCTCCTCCATCCCTCATCTTTATTGCCTCTCCTTCGATGCTTCCCCCATCACCTTTTAACCATCTGCATCTGCACAATCTGGTTTTTGAATCATGACTCCCCTAACTCTGGTGGGTTTTCGAATCCCCTCCACCTCTGTAACATCCGGTTTTTCAGATTTTCGATCTGAGTGATTGGTTTCAAGAATTTCGATCTAGGTCTCCATCAACACCTTCAAAATCTTACTTCCAATTTAGGTCATCGACACTTACAAAACTTAGGTCATTGGGTATTCATCAACACTTTCCACACAAACAAGATAGAAGATTGAGGGAGCAATGATTGTTAATTGGAGGTTAGAGTACAGAACAAGGAGCGAGGTTGTTGTCTCGGTTGATTAGAGTTTGATTAGAGGCTGTTGTCTCGGTTGATTAGAGTTTGATTAGAGTCTCTTGTCTCGATTGATTAGAGCAACAATAATTTGGTAGGTGAACTTGTGAATTAGAATTTCCACTTTGCTATACAATTATTTTAACAGTTACTCTTAATCTAGGTTGAGGGTAAAATAATTTTAGTCATTTAAACGGTTTATTCAACACAACAACAATTTATCTTATATCATACAAACAACTTTATCAATATAGACAACTTTATCCATTCATGACTTAATGAAAAATGACCGAACAACCCTTAAGTAAGTTCAAAAATTACTATTTTATTAATACCACACTTTCTTTAATGTTTCATCTGCAAACATAATGATGAGTTATGTTAATAAACGTCTACATCATACTCAAAAGACTGAAATGAAGAGTACGATATCATTTGCTGATCAACAAATCAGATGAATAAATGTGTTAAAGTTGGATAACAACATTTATATAATGGTGGCTATAAAATACGACATTTGACAATGTTGCAACTCATTGTTTGATCGGAATTTCTAAGTGATAGTTTATTAGGCAAAATCGGTGTCAACATCTAAAGACTATCTCAATTCTTCAGATCTGAAGGAGTGTATCTTCTACTACTATTTCAATCTACAACAAAATTTTCACCAGTCAGATTGTTTACAATCAGGTTTTTACCTTCTTAGTTTCCGCAAAAAATATGTAATTTTCCTTTGTTTTATAAACATACATAATTAAAAAGTGAAAAGCTGTTCTATTTAGATTTAACTCTTTTCTACAAATATTTTTTGTGTTAATTATCATTATTCCCATACCAACACATGTTGTAGCAAAATAAAAAATTATTTAAAACCACCAAAACCCCTATTGTAACACAACTCTTGATATGTTTTCATTGACCTTGAGCCTATCAAAAGTAGTTTCAAAACCTAACTTTTATTTGTTAGTTGAACTAACACCGAAGATAACAGCCAGAAATAATTTCTGAATCGTTAAAAGCTGAATCTTGTTTGGCAAAAAAAAAAAAAGATTTGTCTCTTAATGGTTCTAAAACCTTCTGAATGATTTTCTATACTGGTTTTCCCATAACCATTCAGCATCCAAATTCCATTGTAAATAATTATCGAAAATTATATTTTATTTTGCATTATATCATGAAAGCTTCTTAATCATTATGCACCAAATCATTCAGCAACTCTCAAACAGTCCCTAAAATTTAATCTTTATTTGCCTGAAAATAATAATTATAAAAATTCCTTGTAACCTCAAAGATAAATCTCTACTGTTAACCACAAGGGTGATGCTTGATTGGCTTGAGCTTGGGCTCCAAAGGTTAAAGTGCTTGTAGGTCTCAAGTTCAAATTCAAGAAGGAATAAAAATCCTTTTGTAGCTATGAAGGTTCAAATGCGGTAACTCCGGACTACGCGCAAAGCAGATGGTCGTCTGATGATTAATCGATTTGCATAACGAATTAGATATCTAGGTTAATAAAAAAAAAAAAAAATCTGTAGTGTTTCGAATCCAGCGAAAAGAAAATTCCCAAAATCCATCTTCTATTTGGAGGTTGAAGCCAAAGTGTGAAAGGCACGCGCGAAGCTACAAGACTGGGAAAAGAGGTTGCGTTTATACATTTGGGATCACTCTGCTGCTGCTGCTGCTGCTGCTGTATCGGGAGACTAAAATGCTCAAACTTGGGAGAGAGAGAGAGAGAGATAGATGGGGCTCAGGCTGCAATAATGACAAAACTTGAGAGATAGAGACACAGACACTCTCTCTCTCTCTCTGATACYTGACGATGGACTATTATTTTGGGTGTAATTTGAAAGGGCTACCGTACTACTGATACGCTATCTTCTCATACTAGCAAAAAGATCGTACCCATTTTACCTTCCAAGATTTCCCATCTTCCGCCATTGAAGAACAAATGCAAAGCTTTACAACACCTCCACCTTCTGCTTCTGCTTCAGACTTGTATTGCCATTCTCCATTCTACATTAGGTACGCCTTCTCCTTCTTCTTTAATGGATTTCCTGTTAACATGTCTTCATCATCATATTAATGGTGGACCATGGATGAAATCATAAAACAGAGCAGATGAAAATGGAAGACCAGATACGCGTTTGGCGGATCTTGGAGACCTTCAACACTCATCTGTCTTCCATCAAGAGGATGCTGTTGATTTAAGCAGAAGTATCTTACTCTCTCTCTCTCTCTAGAAGCATGTATATATATATATATACATATATATGTTGTATCTAATTAGTTGCTGATTTTGAAATTCTTTGAGGTTTGGTAGGTTCCATATATAATGAAATAAAAGCAGGGAATGCAGCTCTTCTTTCTAATAACTTACAGTTTCGGCCACATCACATGGTAACCATCCATACCCATACCCATTCTTCATTATCTATTTTTGTAAGTTTATGTAATTTCATCATGTGGGTGCATCGAAAACTACATTTTTTTGTGGTGTTATGCAATTTTTCATGTGGGTTTGTTGGGAATGTGAATCTTTTTTGTTTGGTGTTCTTAGAACTTTGGGTCAACAACAGAGATGAGTTCCATAGGAACAGGGGAGTTCATGATGCAACACCAAAAAGGGACTCCATCAACCATGGTGGCCAGTGGCGGTGGTAGTGGTGGCGGTGGTGGTGGTCTGGGGAAAGGGCATTTTGAGAATTGGGGAGAGTCTGCCATTGCAGATAATAGCCAACAAACTGACACTTCTACTGATATTGACACTGATGATAAAAACCAGGTCTTTATTTCTATACCCCTTCTTTTTCTGTCCTTTCTTTCTAAAAAACCATTTAATGTTTCTTGTCTTCCAAATGATCATTAATTAAATGGTGATAAAAAGATGGTTTTTTTGGCCATTTTTCTGTAGTTTAACAGTGTTCAACATGGAGGACAACTTGCAGTAGATTCAATGGGGAAAATTGGAGACCAGAAGGTTCTTTGAATCACTGTTTTCGCTATTTTCTGTAAATATTTTAGTGAAAAAAACTTATGGTATTATTCTTCCATCAGATCCTTAGAAGGCTGGCTCAGAATCGCGAAGCCGCTAGGAAAAGCCGATTAAGAAAGAAAGTATTGATCTTTACTTCATAAAATGGCCTTTCAGATCATACTCATTTGGTTAATTCGCACTAATTTTCAATGATTTTGCTTAAATGAATTCCATAATTGATGCAGGCTTATGTTCAGCAGCTCGAAAATAGTCGGCTTAAGCTCTCACAGCTTGAGCAAGAGCTTAAACGAGCTCGTCAGCAGGTATTCTCTCCTCAAACTACTTGGGAGTCTTGTATCTGCTTGAAACGAATCATCAAACCGGTATATGTGTAGGAACCTCTTCTTTTGAGACGGACTAATGATTAAGTGGTTTAGTACATAATGATTAAATGGTCAGAATGATTAAAGGCTATCATGATATAGTGCAGAATTAAAATATAATTGTTTACAATGAAATTAGGATGCTGAATGGTTAAGAGAGACCCATGATACAAAATCATTCAAAGGGTTTTAGAACCATTAAGAGACAAACTTTTTTTTGTCAAACAAGATTTATCTCTTAACAATTCAGATGTTGTCTCTTAATGAAATTATTAAGAGGTAAACAAACAACCAGTTGTATGTCATTTTTAGTTAAACCGTAATTTTTGTTTTATTTTATGTTATGTTGATTATTTTGCGGCCTTGTTTCGAAAAATTTCTGGATCAACCTTCGAAAGCCGTTTTGTTGTTGTAGGGTATGTTTATTGCTACCGGAGTTTCGGGCGACCAGAGTCATTTAGTTGGTGGAAATGGTAACGGATTTTCCGGATAATTTTATTTATTCGGCTTCTTTACAGTTCAAGTCATTGAGATTGCGAAATCTATAAACAGGAGCTTTAGCGTTTGATATGGATTATGCACGATGGTTAGATGATCATCAAAGGCTGATCAATGATGTACGGTCGGCTGTAAACAGTCACGTGGCTGATAACGAGCTTCATCTTCTTGTTGACGCGGTTATGTCACATTACGACGATATCTTCCGGCTTAAAAGCATAGCCGCAAAGTCTGATGTGTTTCACATGCTCTCTGGCATGTGGAAGTCACCGGCCGAACGCTGTTTCATGTGGATTGGCGGCTTTCGCTCTTCCGAGCTTCTCAAGGTTTGACTGACCCGTTTGACTTTTCCGAGCTTCTATTGGGGTTTTAGGTTAAATTACCTTTTTGAAAGGTGATTTATAAATTCATGACCTTCTGATAGGTTTGAGAATGCCTTTGTTTAAACAGAAGAATGCCTAAAAACCTGTCGAAAGACAATGGATTTAAAGAACACTTGTAAGGAGGCATTTAGCTAAATAACCCCTATTGTCGTATGTGTACGGTTCAAAACCATTGATGCGATTTTGTTTTTGGGTTCGGTTAGATACTCGGGAACCATTTGGAGCCGTTGACGGATCAACAGTTGATGGGGATATGTAATTTGCAGCAATCCTCACAACAAGCTGAGGATGCTTTGTCTCAAGGGATGGAAGCTTTGCAACAATCCCTTGTTGACACGCTATCCTCGGCCTCCATGGGGTCCACCGGCGCCGGAAACGTGGCTGATTACATGGGACAGATGGCCATCGCCATGGGCAAGCTTGCCACACTCGAAAACTTCCTTCACCAGGTCGAACTTTACACCTCAAGCATATTGAAAACGCTCTATTTATAGGACGTCGAAATTTCCAAATGGTCCTAATAGACTGCCTTATTATAGGAACCAAACAATTATGTCTACTTAAAAGTGTTTGCAATAAGTTTATAGGACACTTTTAGGCATTTTAACAAGTGTTCTAAGACGGTGCTGAAAGAATTGGTCCCCTAATAATTTGTTATGACATTTTTATAGGACACTCAAAACTATAGGGTAAAAAACTAATAAGACATTTTATTTTAAAGTGTTCTGAACAACTTGTTTGGATGCTCAAAAAAACGTTCTGTAAACTTATTGCACGTGTTTTTTTTTTCTAGGATGTACAATTTGGTTGGTCCTACAAAACGGCTTATTTAGACAATTAGGGGCCATTTACCAAACGCTAACTGGGTAAGCACTTACTAACTCACTTACCTTACAAGTGAATCTTACCCGATAAGGGCATGACAAATACCGACAATCTTATCTGATAAGTGAGGGTGCCGACTTTTACCTGGTTAATGCATAAAGGGTAAGATTATTGCCTTCTATGCCGTTTTGATGGCCAAGAATCTTATTCGATAAGGTAAGTGATGGTGGTGGCTTTTACCCGGTAAGCGTTTGGTAAACGTCGTCCTGTAAACCTGATTTTTATAGGAGTGCCTAAACCCTAAAACCCCCTTGTGTTTGTGAACAGGCTGATCTACTGAGGCAGCAAACGTTACAACAACTGCATCGGATCTTGACCACACGGCAAGCTGCGAGAGCGCTTCTTGTCATAAGCGATTACATGTCACGTCTTCGTGCACTGAGTTCGTTGTGGTTAGCGCGCCCAAAGGACTGACCGTTGATCGGATTCTTTTTGGTTCAATGATCTTGAAAGGTTAGCCGTTATATGCTAATTTAAACCGGTTTGACCTCGAAATCATTTTCCAAAACCGAAAACTGGCTTGAAAACTGTAGTTTGAGAAAATTTTGATGGGATTTTTAGGGTTCTTCAATCTTGTATACTTGCTTAGTTTAGAAGCTGCATTGGTGAAGAAGGGATTCAGATGGTTGGTTAGGCCTTTTGATATTGTAAATTGGGATAGGCTATTTCAGAGCTCAAATTGACAAATCCAGAGCAATGTACAACTTTCACTGCGAGAATTGCTAGCTGTGAAAGGTTTATTGCTCTGGACTTGTTGATTATAGCTCTTGAAAAATGATTTAACTTGCTATTTGCGTTATTGGCCAATTTGTAGTTTTTTTTTTGGTGATTTTTGAAATGATTGTTTGAAGCACGTGACGTTGAAAAACATGGTTAAATTGCAATTTAGGTCAAATTAGCTTATAAATTAGTTATTGGCTGATGAACTAAAGCTCGTTGATAAACTAGTTATACTGATAAAAACTAGCTGATAAGTTAAATAACAATATGAAATTATATAAATAAAAAAGATCAGGGTTCGAATCCTGACGCTGCCAAAGTCTCAGGGGGACGTAGTGGAAAATCTTATCTACCTTGGGTTCGAATCTTGACGCTGCCAAAGTCTGTGGTTATGGAAACCAACTTATGATTTATCAGAAGGGTTTTTCAATAAAATTTAGAAATAATTAAACTGAACAAGAGAGTTGAAGTGAAATTTCCTGTAACCCCTGGCTAAATTTGAAGATATACAAAAATACCCTGAAACCCAATGACCTAACTCTATGTTAAACCCCATTTTCTCTTCTATGCCGAGGGCAGTTTTGTCAATTTATATAACTGATAAAAATGCCCTTAGAACCTCTGTTTTTCTTTTCAATGTAAGGGCATTTATGTCATTTTAGACATAATGCATGCTCTGGATACAAGACTTTATACGAGGTATGATGATCCAAGATTCTTGTGTCTTGCTTCTGGATGTGATTTGCCCCTCTCATTGTTCTTCCTTGGTTTATTGCATCTTCTTCGGGACCTATGGACGCTAGCACGAGGTATAAACACCCCTGTGCCGCCACCATTTGCCGCCCACAACCTCTCCAACCACCCCGGAACCGAAACCTCACCACCTTCCGACCAACTAAAATAGTTTCCTGGCGGCAATGACCATCCACTGCCAACCGTTCTCTGGTTGAACCTGCCCACACCCTTGTCCTTAGTTTGTAGCTCGTCATCTTCATCCGTAAGAAGCAATATCCGTCTTGTGAGTTCGGCATAGAAAGCATTGTCGTCGGCATCACCATGATCCATGGTGGKGKGGGKKGKGGTGGRGTGGCATGGGAGGGTGAAGCTTAAATAGGCAAAAGAGGAAGGGAGAGGGTGAACATAAAGTGTGTGTGTGGGGGTGGGTGAGTGGAGATATGGTTGGGTGCACATTGTGTAATTGACTATGACTAGTTGGCAATATTCAAATAAAAATAAATAAATGGATGATACAAGTTCACAAGTCATTTTGGCCATGGCTACCAAGATTCTTCCCCCTATTTTTAGGGATCTTGATAGGGAAACCAATTATCGTCTAAATCATACAATGTTGAAATAATAAAAACGGGAAATCACAAAAAGCAAATCTTTAAAATCGATTTTGTGGTTTGTTTTACCAAACGCTGAACAGTTGTACTTTGTCATCATGTCMGACCAGATATTATCTTTTTATGCATATTTTACTGGTCTAGTAACTCTTTAACAGTTCATAAGTTATATTCATTTGAAGTTGAATTTCGTTCCAGTTTTTTTGTGTTTCTTTTATTACCTATAAAAGTGTACATTTTTATATCTATTTCACCTTGGTTGCTTATTGTGTCCCAAACCGACTATAACTTAAAACAAGAAGATCGGAAACCAGATATTGGTTTAAACCAAATATAAATTTGAGGTTATAAATATATAATTAAAACAGTATTGTTGTAAGTTTAAATATCAGTCTTCACGTTTTTTTTTTATTTCTTTTTTAATTTGATAATTTTTATTTTATAAATAAAATAGTTTTATTAATCGACCGTCGGAGAAAAAGGGAGCATGTGAGAACACGTTGAATATTGACGGTGGATGGGTATGTTCATTTGCTCTTTCTCGCTTTACTTGTTTTAGTTGTTTTTTGCAATTATATATTTAATTTTAATAATCATATGATTCATATTTTTTACTTTAATTAAAATTATTATATACTAAAAGAGTGCTTGCACAATGTAGCGATACACGTCTCAATTTTAATGTTTTATTTTATTATTTGTTTCTGTCGATGTTATAATACGATTTTATGTGTTTTTAAGAAAACAATAATGATTTTATTTTTGAACAAAATATAAATTTGTAGATATCATAAATTTTTAAAAAGAAAATATATCGATATTAATATCAAATCAACTATTTAAAAATTCTGATTTTTATGTAATTTCGTTAATTAATTTATTTTTATTATAATTTAAATTAAATTTAATAACAAAATAATTTATTTTTGGTTTAATAATATAAATTTTATAAAAATAATAATTAAGTATTCTGTTAAAACTCAATAATTATCTTAATTATATTTTAGATTTTTTATATTTAAAA